CGTCATTTTCCTCCACGTGTTTTGTGTTTCTCGCTTGGTTGTTACCGTGAATGGAGTAAAGAGTTCCAGAGGATCGTATACTCTTGCAGTGAGCTGTAACATTTCGCGCTTCGTTAGCGCACCGCTGGTATCAATGTCTTTTATGTCAAACTATGGTAGGTACAGCTTATCTTCCTTGAAGTTCCATCTGATGCCAAGGACCTTTATTTCGGTGGAAGCCCCGAAGCTTGCGTTTTCCTGTTTTTTTTATGTTTTGATTGATTTGTGGGGTATAACGTCCCAAAACAACGATATGATTGAGAGACGCCGTAGTAAAGGGCTCCGAAAATTTTGACCACCTGGGGTTCTTTAACGTGTACTCAAATCTGAGCACACATTGTCATTTGAAGTCACTGGCTCGCGTCGTTCTTGTCGATAAAGGTAGGCATTGATGTTATGCAGAATGCTAATCGTTTTTTAGCTCATACTTAGTGGTCCTCGCCAACTCGGCTTCGGCTGTTTCCTGCGTTATGAACTGTTCCATCTGTTCGTCAACTTTCTTTAACATGTCGGCGATGCCTCTAATCTGGCTGTCTATCAGCGATATTGCCGTAGGGTCTTCATTGTCACGAAGCTTGTTTTCTGCTTCGCTCACTAGGTGGGTTATTTGCGTCCTCAGCGTTTTTCTTTCCTTCCATGTTCATTTTGAATAATTGAGGAAATGGCTGGTCGCTTACAAATTTCAGCGGCGTTATGCCTGCGAGTCCACAGCGAACGTCCATGCCTCTGAAAAAGGCAATCTATGTCAAGGCCCGCACGCGAGCCCGCCTGACGCAAACAACTCAACGGCGTCATCACGCGGCGGTGCCTTTCTGTCCCGCACGCACAGCGATCCCGTTGCAGCAATAGGCGCCTTCCTGTCTGGCGAGTCTTACGCAATGCGTGGCGACACCACTCGTCCTTGGCTGCAACCACGCGCAGCGGCTCCGGATTCGATTAGAATGACGCGGCCCAGCGGCGACACCATTGGAGGATTCTGACCTCACGGCCAACGGCGCTTCTGGTTGGACATTTGGTTACTCAAAGAATCCTCCCGGTGCATATAAAAAAAAAGCACTGCGGCGCGTCGCGAGCAGTAGACCTATGTGTCAGAGAAGAGAGCTCGGCTCTTCGAGTCTCTAAGCTGTCGGCCCCAGTGCCGAATTTGTAACGCCTCTGTATATATGCTGTACATAAACCTTGTTTAACTCACCGTCGTCTCGTCCGCTCGTCTATCAGCTCTGCGCAGAAGCAGCCGCGAGCTGAGAAACCTACGCTACCAAACGGCTCGTGACCTTCCCGACGGAGTCCGAAGCAGTGGCGCCTTCGGGACCGTGTTGGCGTCGCCGTCTTTCGAAACAGTGGTTGCAGCGGTGAGATTCGTGGCGCCCTTCGTAACGTCGTCGGAGGCGCGCTCCGGCGAATCTTCATCCGTGGCTGTGTCGTCCTCCGTGTCTGTGCCGCTATCTCAAATATCGATGTCTCGTGTCGCTGCCGTTGGTTCGCACTAGGCTTCCTCTTCGTCCGTCCTCTGTGACCTGTCCTTCGTCCTGCCATTCCGTGGCCAGTGGGAAGAGAAGAAGCCGCTATCTTGGTCACGGCACCATGTCACAGAAACGAGACGAGACAAGCGTGGACTGCGTTCGATGATGATGATGGACCTTCGGATTTGCTGGCACTCGCCCACAAAGGGGGATCGGCCAAGAACCGGGCGGCAGGATCATCAAGTGTGTTCAGTCAGGCATTCAGGTAGTCTCGTAGCCGTAAATAATAACAATAGGCTAACAGGGTAATCTCTTTGTTGCCCTTATGTACTCGCACACAGCAGAGAAAACCTCCCTGTGGCTATAACCTAATGTAATCCCTCCGAAGGATAAAATTAGTTCCACGTTTATTTTTAAACCTAGCTCCTCAATTGGCTCGACCAGGTATCTTTTCATTTGATAAGCATAACGTTTACAGGATAAAAATAAATGATCTATTGATTCCGATTCCTTGCAAAAGAGACACAACGGAGATGCTGTTAGTCCAGCTTTATGTAGGTAGTAATTCAGATGCGGAATTCTGCATCGTAATCTGGTGATTGTAGTTTCTAACTGCCGAGATACGCACCACTGTTTCTTCCAGCAATATCTTAGATGTACGAAGTCTCTGACTTTATCCAATGATAATTTTTATATTTCTTTGTGCAAACAAGCCTTTCTATATCTGAGTGCTGTTACGTAGGCAAAATCAGCGTTCGATGAAAACGAACAGCAAGAATATAATTTTTTTTCCCGCGCGCTCTTCCGCGCCCCTTGTCTTCTTCTCCTTGTCTTCAGCGAGTTTCAATAGTGCCGGTCCGGAAGACCAGTTGTGATTCTTTTGAGCCGTAAATTAAAGGCGGTTCTTGTTCTGGCTCGCCTCCTGCGAATTTTGGTTAACTGGCCCCCTTGAGTGGAGGCGGGGCCTCCAAAGTATATATACAATCATCCCTACAATGTGTTTCGCCTTTGTGCGATGGCAGAGTACTTCTACGGAGTATTCACAGTTCCACCTGATCAGTTCCAAGCAATTAAGCTCCTCCATCATTCACTTCGTGGAGACGGGGGTATTTTCTTTCATCATAGGTGGGAGGTTTGAACGCCAGCTAGATTAAAAAAAAAGCCTTAAATCAGCTTTCACCCAATCTTGGAACCACCGGCTTTACAGCTGCCACGAAATATTCCTTTAACGTCAATGCTACGCAGCTCTATACCAAGCTTCCGCTATAGAGTTCCACGCCTTAATTTTTAAGTTCACAAATCTCGTTTGTCACTAACCTCTGTACAGGGATCTCTCTCTCTCTTTTTTTTTTTTGATTTCTAGCTGTCACCTTGCTTCACTCCGCAGGGTTAATTTCTTGAAGTTAAAATTAACCATACTTCCAACATGTTCTATTTTGAAGCCCGTAAGTTTGGTGCAAGCCGCGATTCAATTCTTGGTTACACAACACTAAATTATTGAAGCATCTGGAGGATTAAGATGCTAGTCCCACTGACCACAGGAAACGACTTCTTTTTATTTAGTCATATTTTACCAGTTTCTCTTCAGATGAGCATTTATAATGGTATACCTGTTTTTTTTCGCCCTTCTCATTATTTATTATGTTAAGAAGTGTTTAGTATTGCGTTATTTCGTTCTTGTCGCGCATTTTATTGGTAACCAACAGTGTGGCCAATTCCTCAAGCGGATGTGAGCCAGCTTCCCTATAGGTGGGTGACAAAAGAGGAAAGAAAAAAAGAGAGAGAACTGCATCCGGAGTTTGCTGCATCAGGAAATCCTACTATTCTCGTGAAAAGCTCCCAGAATCCACGCGTCATCCTGTAAATATATTAACCGTTGCATATGTTTTTCCTGGTGTGTCCATCCTTCTCCCACGTTGACCTAGATTCCTCCGAGGAAATATGCTCCACATTGAATGCTGACACCGCGTGCACAGACAGACAGACAGCAAGACAGACAGACAGCAAGACACAGACAGACAGACAGACAGACAGACAGACAGACAGACAGACAGACAGATAGATAGATAGATAGATAGATAGATAGAGATAGATAGATAGATAGATAGATAGATAGATCGATAGATAGATAGATAGATAGATAGATAGATAGATAGATAGATAGATAGATAGATAGATAGATAGATAGATAGATAGATAGATAGATAGACAGACAGACAGACAGACAGACAGACAGACAGACAGACAGACAGACAGACAGACAGACAGACAGACAGACAGATAGACAGATAGACAGATAGATAGATAGATAGATAGATAGATAGATAGATAGATAGATAGATAGATAGATAGATAGATAGATAGATAGATAGATAGATAGATAGATAGATAGACACACACACACACACACACTGATATGCTGGCTTTGTAGCGAAGGTGATCCAATACAAACTTGAGCGCCGCAGATCATTCTTGTGTGCTACGCAGTGAATACATAACTAATCTGATCTTACACTAGACACATTACCCAAATTAACACAATTCTTTGATTATGTGCTTTATCTACATCTCCAAGGCAGTCGATTGCGCAACAAACAAGAGACGCAGTTTCTCGGAACTCAACCCCGCCATTCGTAACACCATGGTCAAAGTTCTAAACTCAAGGTCGCGGTTCCGATTCCAGACCACAGCGGGCCTGTTCCGGCGGATGGAAATTGTTATAACCCTTGTACTTAGGTGCACGTCCGGGAGAACCAACTTCAGCTTTTTCTCTCTTTTTTTGTTGCGCATCAACGGTATGAGATTTATCTTATTTGATTGTTATGTGGCGTTTAACGTCCCAGAGCCGCCATATCACTATGAGAGGCGCCAAGTGGGGGGCTCTGGAGATTTCGACCACCTGGGGTTCCTTAACGTGAACCTAAATCTGAGCACACGGGCCGACAGTATTTTCGCCTCCATCGAAAATTCAGCCGCCACAGCCGGGATTCGATCCCGCAACCGGCGGGTCAGCAGCCGAGTTCCTTAGCCACTAGACCACCACGGCGGGAAAACTCGATTCGCAAATGTAAGTGAACTTGAGCAATCCTTGTATTATAAGTCGTTAATCAACGCCTTGAATTCCAATAAAGGCGGCGAACGTTAAAATTTAAACGAATAACCAATGACCAATGACTTTACTTTTTTTATTAAATGTATGTAAGGAGAGGCACCAACCTCTCCTTGCATACATTTAATATAAAAAAATAACGAATGACTACTCAAAATTCTCATTTTTGTTTACTCAGATTACTCAGACATAGGTATAGCAAGCGCTTGAGGCACCTCACTAGTACGTGTTAAACAAAATATCAGAATAAAAAGCATTTATTTTCAAATAAATGAATTCAGGATACTACAGGCGAAAATTTGCGACACGCAGCTCGAATGTTCGTGAAGGCCATCACATATGGCAACAATATACTGTCTAAAATCTAGTTGGTTGGTCATATTGCGCCGCAAGCCGTCTCTGCGCCGCAAGCGGCAGCGCACAAATGTGGTCGTCAATAAGGATCAGATGAAGTTCAGCGCTTATGTCATTTCTTTCGTGTTTCGTATTTTCATTTTTAACCCGGTGTGCGCCACCGTTTTGTCGTAAATTTTATACTGTCGGAAATACAATACATATCAGTTATCACCATACAAGAACTGTCAGCTTTAGCACATATAATTACAATGCAGCAAAGATCACGCGAGACTCCTAATAGCTCCCACGAAAAGCGCTTGCTTGCTAACTTTGTCCCAGATGAAGAACGCGAATGGGTGTTCGACGCGGAAAGACATTGGAGGCAGCGGTCCTGCACTCTTCCCGCTCTTCACGGAGACGCGAATCGCCGTGACGGCAGCCGCCACAGTGCCTTGCTCGCTAACTTCGATCAAGGCCTTGTGCTTAACGTCGGACACCTCCAAATTGTTTCTGGCACTGATACCAGAAAGGTCCGCGCCCTTTCCGAAGGCACTTTCGAGTCCCAGCTTGCGGAGCGGCGTCACTAGGTCGTAGTCGGTCTGCAACTTGAACTTGGGCAGCCACAGTTGGACGTCTGTGTCCGTCAGACTGTTGGTGATCTTCTCCACGAGGTCCGTCGTGAGACGGGTCTCGACCGTCGACAGCCCGGTCCTGCTCCGGGGAAGCACGACGACCATGCTGAACCGGTCTCCCGCGTATGGCACTTCCAAAGCCCTCGCATCCAGTTCGTCCACCGAGGCATAACCAAACCGATGACGTACCGACATTGTGGCTACCTTCGCCTCGCGTCGGCCGTGGTTGTAGAAGGGGAGCGGCTTAGTTCTGCGTGCCTTGAACTTGGTCACCCACGTGCCTTTGAAGTAAATGGCGTTGATGAGAAACGCCACGGTGTTCATCGGTGGGGCATCGTCGAGCAGCTTGGAAATTTTGTCTCTGGTCTTCTTGTTGACCCAGTCGTTGATTTCGGCCACCACTTTGTGGGCGTCGCGAACGAAGTCCACCGAGCGCGCTTCCGCCTGGAAGTACTCGACGACGTCTTTCTTGTACTGTTCGAGAACCTCGAAGTCCTTCTGGATGAGCACCGTGTTGGCGATGTCCAGCGTCGCGTTCGCGGACTTGGTCTCGAGGAGCGACTTGTAGGCCGAAAGCACGGCATCCCTGTCCACGAGTCCGGCGTCCGCGAGTCCCAGAACGGTAGACAGTTCCTGCAGGGTCTTGCCGCCAGCACCAGCGTAAAGCATTCCCAAGGCGACGCTGAGGCTTGCTGGCGAAAAGAAGACGTTTCGGTCAGCCGCATTCGAACAGAGCTCCTTGAAGAGGGCAACGCCCAAAGCGTTGTTGGCCCTGGCCTGCCCGGGCTGGATATCTTGAGCAGATGTCGGCGGAGACAGCATTACGGTGGCGCACAGCAGGATGGCGGTGATTCGTGATGCCATCTTGACGGACGCGCTTGTAGCAGCCGAGTGGCTTCACTGGGGAAATTATAAGCGAACGGACTTCCATTGTTCCTCTTATCGTCGCCACCGAAAAAAATATATCTCATCAGGGAATTTCCCGAATGAGCCGGACGTAGCGGCGTAACCGTTATCGTCTGGTCTATAGATGCCGCATAGATATAAACGCATTCCTTTGCTCTGACAAAGGCTGGCATTTGGTCTCTAACTTTCGTGAGTAAAAATTACACGTAAACTGCTCATGGAATGTAGCCTGCCGCCATATTGTCGAAACATTGCACGGCCATAATCTTGCATTTCGAACTAAGATGGAACAGGTCAAACTGAGTGATGGAATACACTTTAGTAACACTGAAAGGCGGGCGAGTTTGAACTTATTCATCGTTGCAGGGCCGCACCCAGGAATTCATTTTTCGGGGGTTGTTGATGTTTAAAACGGCTAACTTTAGCCACTTGTGATCGGTGTAAAGGTATGCAGGTACATTAGTGCCACTCGAAAAGTTGAAGCATGAATAAACTTTCGGGAGTGTCAGAAACCCCCCAAATCCCCCCCCCTCATATTTACCTCCCTGAATCGTTGGGTAGCGCACAAACTGATAAAACACAAAAGAAAGGAACAGGACACCAGCGCTTGTCTTGTTCCCTGTTGTGTTTTATCCATTTGTGCGCTACCCAACGGTGAATGGTGTACACCTTTGCACAGATGGGAAGAAAACACCGCCATGTTAGTCTGCGCGCAAGGATACGAAGGTTAAACCATAACATCGGCAGTTCATTTTTCAGAGGGGTGGGAAGAATCACGTCAAATTGCGCAGCCCAGAAAGGTCTATGGAAGCACCCAGGGAGCCCTTTTCGAAGAGACACGGCGCCCCCCCCCCCTTCATGCGTACTATTTAGGGAGGGCGGGGGGGGGGTGCAGACAGCCATCATTCTGCCCTGCGTCTCACGTGCGCACGCTACGACGACCTGTTTGCCGCGAATCATCGAACCGCAGCTCATAAGCGCACAATGTCCAGCCACTATCGAACATATCGCTGGATTACACGCACACACACAAAAAAAAAACAATTGATGGTGTGGCAACACTGTCACGAGATAACCGGGACATTATCAACGGTGGTTTTTTTTCTTCGTCGCGGTTGCTTCCGTTCGGACAATATGCGCATGCGGGCGTACCCTTGTTTTTGAACCGTGGTGCTTATCAGGAGACGGCGTTGCACCTATTACGGGCCACGCACGTTTCAAGTTCCTTATAACGTATCTGGGTTTTTGAAAAATGACGGCAAAGGGGCGTAAACAAGATTTAACTTTTTTTTATATCGGGGGTAAGGGGCGGTGGGCACCTCTTGATCTGAAGGACGGGGGGAGGGGGGTAGAGGGGGCGGCAAATGGTCGTTTCGCGCTGTGTATGCCATGGCGAAAAATCGGGTGCACGTTAAAGAACCTCAGGTGGTCTAAATTTCCGGAGCCCTCCACTACGGCGTCTCTCATAATCATACAGTGGTTTTGGGACGTTAAACCTCACATATCAATCAAATCAATGCCATGGCGAAAAAAAATCCCCCGAAAAACACGGCTTATCCACGAATCGAATAATGATGAGTGGGCGAAGCAGTGGCATTGTTCGGTGTTACCATAAATCGCCCGGGACATTGACCACTCAACATGTAAAGTGGTAGACGAAGAAAGTGCTTAACAGCGCGAACGACAGGAGGGAACAGAAGAGACGAGAACAGAGCGCTGAATTAACAACCAAAGTTTATTGCAAACCAACTGCAATATATAGGAAAACACAATCTGCGCATAACCACGCAACATCAGCAAAATCGCACATATATGCGCCCAACGGCCTACCTTATCAAGAGCCAGTCATATCGGTGGACCCTAGATAACTAATTTCACAGCCGTGAAGAAAAATCGAAGGTACGCTAGCACAGGAAGCACCAAATTGTTGAATTTGGAAGGCTTCGCTAATCTCGCGCTCCCGCTTATTTTTATATCGCCCCATAATCACACACTTGTCCAAAAATTGGCTGACAGCCACACTTTTTACAATGGTCCGCCAAGTGGCTGGGAACGGAGCCTTTTAGAGAGTAAGCGTGCTCCCTCAACCGATCATTAATGCATCGGCCTGTTTGGTCAATGTAACAGAGCCCGCATGTAAACAATACCTTGTATACAATCGCTAAACACATTCAACATAGCGCGTAGCGTGTTTCTTAGTGCATGCTTCTTTCTTAGGCCCTTCACTATTAACATTGCGATATAGCCCAGCCAGCCTGTCGCGTGCGCAGAACACAACTCTTACACCTATTTTGCCAGCGACCTTCTTTAGCCTATAGGAACTTCGTGCACGTAGGGAATAACAGCCGTGCCCGAATGTGGTTCGTTGAATAGGCTGTTGCTTTGTCCCTTATCAGGCACTCTTAGTGACGTAAGGAGAGCCTCAGCGATGGAAGTTAGCAGGAGATTAGGAAAACCTGGTTGTTAAAGGCGATGAATTTGGTGTGAAAAACTACATTCTATCTGGTGGTGACATGCGCGAGTTAGAGCTGCCTTTAGGCAAGAAAAAGCGATGCTACGCTTGACTAGCTTAGAATGGGCGTACGTAAAAGGAAGAAGGCTTTTCTTTGAGCGTGGCTCGTACCGCCAACAGACATGGTCCACCAAAAAACGCACTTCATAGTCTAGAAATCGTAGCTTGTCATCAGAAATAACCTCCGACGTTAATGCAAGTTGCTTCATTTCATGCCGAAATACGTCAAATATCTCACCGGTGGTCCACCGAGGGTCAAATTGGTGCAGCACCATCCAGCCCAATCAAGCATTGTGGTAACGTAAATTGGTAACAAAGCGGTGTACAGTTACATGCAAGTATTATTGGTCATAAATGACAGGTTGTGTTGAGTTGTGAATTTGGTTTGCCTTCATTATTACTGATTTGTGGTATAGTATCTAGCCTGAGGTTGACAACGACATGGTCTGTGCACGTTCCACTGGTGATTGTTTCCAATCGTACAAAATTCATCGCTGAGTATATAAAGACGTCATATACTGCACAAGCCATGCAGTAGTCTGTGATAATCATCTTCATCACGGCTACGGCCCACGCCAACGGACAAATCTCAGCCTATAGAGGAACCTCGCTATGGCTCTGCCCTTAAAACAATTTCGGAGAAGAAAGCGCGGGGGGGGGGGATGCCACTTTCTGTCTACGCCACTGGCTGCAAAGAAAGAAAAGCATGGGCTTGCTGGTGCACGTTCGTACATCGATAACAAGCGCTCTTACTATTTCCTTTTGTATTATCAAATGCGAGCGCTTATATCTTTCAAATCCGACGGCCCCTGAGTTATTTGTAAGATGACTCAAAGTTGTCTTAGCTATGGCAAACCAATACCAATAATCTAACTTTTAAGCCATTTGTTGGGTGGGTGGGGGAGGGGGGACTAACGGGTTTTCCCGTTTGGCTTTTTCTCCGACGCATTATAAACTAAACAAAGAATCTACCTGACCAAGCAGCATAATTTATCTTCAGCATTATAATATGCGTGTTATTGCTAGTTCCCGCAATATATCGTAGCTTTCACAAAATCATTCAATTGTTTAAAAGAGTGGGAGCAAAAAAAATTCAGGGCTCTTTGTGTTCGTATATCAAACAGAAATAAACGAGCTGTTTCGTGCTGCTCGAAAAATAACGGAATTATAATGTCAATATTGCGGCTCCTCTCCATGGTTCACGAAGTCATCAAGCACAATCACTCGTTCAGAGACGTAATCCCGAAAGTAGACGAGCAATTGCCCAAATATGTGACAATTTTCCAAAAATCCCAGATTGCACAACGGGTTCTTTCAGTGGGCCCTTGCTGCACTTCGCCGTTGTTACGACCGGCCCTGGGGAGCCAAGCAGGAAGAGGTTGGGGGAGAACCGGTTCTTGACCTGACGGTGTCGTCCACCCCCACCTCCCCATTCGGGTTCCTCCTCGCCGGGAGAGCTCCGGGGTCTGCTGTGCGTTCGTGACCATGTTTGGTAACATTTTAGGGCGCCGTGACCATATATGGACCTCGTGTTGGGATGTGCCACTCCATGTGTTGTGAGGTGTGTTTCCCCCTCTCTCGTGGCCGAGGGGCCGGAGACACCGTATTGGCTGACGATGCGGACGGGGCGCCCAGTGTCAACGGCGCGGCGCTATAAAATGCCGAAGACGTTTTGTATCACACGCACTCTTCTCTTCTCTCTTTGGGTCAGTTGACAACTTCTCCACATGTAAATAAATCTCTGTTGTTCGTTCGGGCGCTTCTTTCTCGCTCAATTGTTGGACGATGGATCCTGCGACGGGGCCAGCTACCGAAAACGAGACCGACAGGACCCGGAGTCCCAACAACTGGATGGCAGCGGCGGGATGCTGATAACCCCGAAAGCGACCACAGGACGGAGTGAGCCCGAAGTCCAACAACGGGACGACAGGAGAAGGATGACACGAGCTCATCGACTTCCAGAGGGAATCGAACGGCACTTCTGAGAGGCACGACGCCGGATACATGACTGCGAACTGGGTGAGTGCCGGCTTTCTCTGTTAAATTTTACCAGGCATTTACTCTATGTGTTAAATAAAAGCTGGTAGAGAGGGGCTGTCTTGGTCATTGGGTTAACAGGTAACTTGCGTCAGGCAGAAATTGTGTGATAGCTTGGTTAAGCTCTTTCGGTCAGTGGCGCCAAGGTTAACAGTGGCAGGGCAGGATTCCGTATAAGAGCTTTTTGAAGCTTTATTTGTAGACTAAGTTAACGGAAAACTTGAGGCAAGGCAGGAACCTAGAGCTGTCGTTGCCGTCAAGGTTAATTAGTTGCAGGACAGGAATCTTTGTGGAACAGAGACAGCGGTACTGGAGGCAGCCATGAATCTGAAATCCCTGCGAAAGTCCATGTTGTTGCTACTTGCAAGGGAGTTGAATCTGGAGGTGTCGGACTCTCAAAGAAAGCCAGA